GAGGCCCAGGGAGCCCAGAGTCTGCATTGGCTGAAACCTGGTGGAGAGGTCAGGGAGACCCCCCACCCCATCAGTTTGGTGGAAGGAGGGTGTGGGTTTGGAAAGGTCAGGCTTCCCTCCTGCACCTGTGCGAAGCAGAGGTTGGTCCCCTTTACCTTTCCCCAACACAGTGGTTTGTGCCCCTGAGACACCCCAGTGGTGAGAACCAGAGAATAGTGGCATGAAACACATTGAGCTCACTATTGGGACCCGGAGCAGACGTGCCAGGGTGCTTACAGGGAGTTGGGTGGCTGTGCCCAGTACCTGCTGATGCTTATCTGGTTGTGCCTGGCTTGGGGTCTTTAGTTCCTGTTACAAACTCCACCTGGACACTCCATTCCTTCAGTGACATTCTAGCTTGTTGCTTTGGTGACTTGTCTCTTGAGGGTTCTAGAGGCCTCAGCACCTGGCAGTGGTCTTCCTCACCTTGGGCAGCAAGCCCCGAGGAGCAGTGTCTGGGGTTTGTTTCTGGAAGGAGATGCTGTTTTTGAAGTCTTCGTTTAGATTGGGGGGGGGGGGGTTGCAGGGCTGCCTCCTCCTCCTGCCCCGCCCCTCCTGACTGTGTTCCATTTCTTCTCTCCTTCCCCTTCTGTCCACTTCCTCTCTTCCTTCTGGAAAATGCTATTTTCCAGCTCCTGCTTTGCACATCTTTCCAGAGTAGGTGGAAATTGCTGTTTATTCTGAGCCGTGGCTGGCCCCTAACCATGCATCATAATAGTAGTAATAATAATAATCATGATAATGGTAATGATCTCACTGGAGGAGGACCGAAGTCTCCAGTTCTGCTGCTCACTGGGTGGGGTGGCCTCCTGCCTCCAGTGGCCTGCACTTGGCTTTCTGTACTGAGTTGGGTTTGGAGAAGGGTGAGGAGGAGGTGGGAGGGAGGCTGGGAAGGGGGACTTGGGCAAGGAGGTGGTGGTGAAGGAAGGGAGCCTTTTTGCACCTTGGGAGGGGCTGGTGTATCTGACACTGACATTTGGAAACTGCAAGGTGACACAGCAAACCTGAATTTTCCAAAGCCTCAGGGGCCCACTCTGGAGGGGACAGGGAGGAAGGTGACTCATTGTTCCTGTGATGAGCAGCCAGGCAGACTCTCAGGGCTGTGGTGGAAAGTCGAGAGCAGCGTGTTCGCCCTGGGATGGAGCACCCTCGCCTTGCTGGCCGTGTGGGGCTGCCAGGGTTGGTCGAGGCAGTGTGAAGGGAAAGGCTTTGCAGGGATGTCAAAAGGAAAAAAAAAAAAAAGCCCCAGAAATGTACAGAAGAATGTCAACTCAAGGAGAGGAGCGTCAAGGAAGTGTTTCTTCCTGGAGCCATGGTCCCTCCTGCAAGGCCACGTCTGTTGAAGGCATCCAGGTGGAACTTCATGTTCCCTGCACTTGAGTGCCCAGGGTGGGACAGGTCTCCCTGAGAAGCTGCAGTGTCAACCCAGCAGGTAGAGCCACCTTGTCCCAGCAGGTGACTCCCGACTTCCCCCCCCCAACTGCCAGGGACATGATGATAAAGCCACCGAGGCACAGTTGGCAGCTCTGTGGGGCTGCCCTCTGGAGCTTGGAGGCATATAGTTCTCTGGTTTCCTTGGCAGCATTTGAGAGTGGCGGGCGAGGCATGTTGGGAATCGGGTGGTGGGGGGTCTGGGAGGACCCCTGGAGGCCAATGTCTGGATAGGCCAGTGGAGGGCTGGCCAGGTGTGGGGATGGAGGGAGGTGCTTCTGCCACTTCTGTAGCTTGCTTGGCCCTGCCACTTTTTATTAACTCGTATTGTTGGGCACATTAATGGGATTTGGTGTGATATTTGCACACACGTGTAAATCTATGCCTTGAGGAAATGTGGGCCATATTTTCTTCACCTGCTCATCTGTTGATGGGTTCCGAGGCCCAGTCAGTATCACAAATGCCGCAGTCTGGCTGTTACACACAGTAGCGCGATGCACGTGCAGTGCCACCTTCTGAGGGCTGAATGTTTGGAGCACAGGTGGGAGTGGGTCCTTGGCTAGCCTTACAGAGGGCAGCTTCTGGTGGAATTTTCTTAGTGCACTTACCCCTGTCCCCCAAAATGCTGATAGAAAGCAACATAACCAACAAAATTTAGGTTGATAAGGTGGCAGAAGGATATGGAGGAGTGGGGGTACCCGTGTTTCTTCTTCCTTTGTCTTCAGGTCTTTGCTCAAACACGGCTTTCTCAGCCTCCTGCTGCTGCGTAACACCACGTCTACGTTTGTGGTAGGCTAGCGTGGGTCAAACGCTGATCTGCTGGGAGGGCGGCCGTAGACTCCATATGTGAGTCTGTCGGCATCATCACTACCTGGGCCTCTAGCTTGTCATCGATTGGTTATTATGGTCTCGAAGGAGAAGGCGAGATTAGGAGAATGTGGGATGTGGCTGTGTCACGTCCCTAGGGCCTGGGACGACTCCGGCGATGGTTGATGCTTAAGTGAAACTTGAGTGGATACACGAGGGCAGGCAGGCAGCCTTCCTAGAGAGAGTGGCACAGGAGAGAGCAAATGCCCGGCGTTGCCGTGTGCCCATGTGGGCAGCCTTGGGGTCCTGCCCATTCGTCGTCCTCAGCAGGTTCTCAGCCTTGGCACTGTGGCATTAGCCAGGGCGAGCCTTGCTGTGGTGGCCCCTGTGCACTGCAGGGTCTTGTGCAGCATCCTTGGTCTCTACCCACCTGGGACACCAGCAGCACCCCCACAGTGACATCCCACAAACATCCCTGGTGGCCCAGTGGGACCACGTGAAATCACCTCATTGAAAACCACTGTTCTATAGTAACCTAGGGTCTCTGAGCTGCCCCTTCCTGAGTGGGCTGTGGTCGAACACGCAGTCCCAGCCCTTTGCATATGAATGCTGCCGCATGCTCCCGTAATACAGCCGCTCTGTCTGCATCATCCCTCTGGTTATGCATCAATCACTTTGTAAAAAAGAAGGAAGACAAAGGAAGCTGAGTCAGCGGTAGGATGCAGTTTCCTAGCAGACTGTCTTTTATGGCTGCAGTGATCCCTCAGATGTCAGAGGGAGGCAGAGAGTTAGAAATAATTAAAGCATGTAAACAGACAGAGAGCTGTGACTCGGTGCCCCAGGCACATCACACAGACACCAGCTGTCACTTGGGGGTGGCCAGAGGGGCTTCTGCAGAGGCAGGGACTGGCCTGCGTGCCCCTCTCCCGTGCTGCAGCCTCCATCCACCTGCAGTGTCGGCCGCCTCCAGGCAGGAGGCCGATTCCAGGGTCATAGCCAGGACCACATGGGGGAGGCTCCAACGGGGCTTGGAGGCTTCTCTTCTTCCTTTTAAAATAAGGCTAAATGAGGGTTGGCCCCCGCTTTAAGGTACATTATCAGGGATATTGCAAATGAAGGATTAGGATGACATTGATGCATTGGACAAATGAAAAGACGCAGGAGAGGCTTAGGGTCATTTTTTTGTGTGTGTGTAGTAAGAAAAAAAAATGAAATGAATCATTAGGCTCTCTTATCCTTGCTCATCATGACCATGAGAAAGCAAGAGGTGTTTGTGCATGCACATATATATGCATGTGTGTACGTATGTATGCATGTGTGTATAAGTGTGCCTGTGTTTGTGTGTGCATGTGTAGGATACAGCCTGCTACACCTTTCCTGAAATTCCTTCATGAAAGAAACCTAACCAAAAACCCAGTTTTTTTCTTGGAAGTGGACACATTTCTGCGCTTAGATTACAAGCCATTTCCTCTCCCATGTTAGTGTCACATATTTTAAATGGAAACTTTTATTTGTGTGGAGGAATGCTTGTGTTCCCTCAACACTCATATGTAGAAATCCCCACCTCTAGGGTGGCTTTAGGAATGGACCTCTGGGAGGAGATGGATCATGAGGGTGGAGCCTGCAACCAGTAGAGTCAATGCCCTAAAGGCCCTGGAGGGGGACTCCTAGCCCTTCCCCAGTGACCACACAGCCTGAAGGTCAGAGATAACACATGCCAGACGCGGAACCTGTCCCCACCCTGGCAGCCTGACCGTGGACCTCCCCACTTCCACAAGCTACTTAGTTTATGATATTTTGTCACTGCTACCTGGACAGTCGGTGATACCTGGTCTTGAAGAGATTTGCTGTTTTTTTGCCCATTGGGGTGATTCTGCTTACTTGCCCTTACCCTTGAGGTCTTTGGATGAAGCGGAGTGTCGTGCAGGGCTGAGCCCCTTGTCTGTCTCTTGCTCCTGGAGATCCTGTGCTTTGTTGATGGCCTGCAGGGTCAGCACTTCCCCAGTGCCTCGGGAGAGATGCTTGTGGTCAGTCCTGGTTTCCTTGTTGGCTCCTAATAGAACAAAGATCTGTAAGAGTGGGACCTCATCTTGTTCACCAAGTGTCCATAAAGTTGGAGGCCACTAAATGTTTGCGGGAGCTGCACACAGGACTTTGCCTCGTTAGTGTGAAATGGTCTATCAACTTGTCAGGACAGCAGAGAGTGGCTTTGGTTGGGCCATCTGGCTGTGACTCCAAACTCCAAGTGCCACCACCTCTCTCAGATGCTTCTGTTTGGATCTCCTCTTATCTCTTGAGAAGTACAAAGATGGCGGCTTCCCAGGCACACTGACCTTGGATCCTCGGCCATAGCTGCCATCTGAGTAGACTGGCCACAGGGGCTTCTTTTGATAAGCCTGGAGCTAGGTCCCCTGTGCCCATCACTGGCATTGATGAGGTGCGCAGTGGGATAGGTGTGCAGACCCCAGTCTTGCCAGTTGTACGTGTTTCCCGTCTCTAGGATCAGTACCAACTCCTCGGATCTTGTTTTTGTCCTCTACCCCAGAAGTCTTTCATCTTCCTACCCTCCTTCCTTCCTCCCTGAAAGTCACGTGAGCCCAGGGTCCAGCTCAGCCCTGGTGCTCCTGGCAGACCAGGGCCAGTTGCCTTGGTACCATGGTCCAGAGGGTCTGGGGGCCCCATGGAGATGAGCTGCTGTAATGACACTATGCTTCTTGTTTCAGGGTGCAGCAGAAGACCCTCAGACGGCCCTGGCACTGAACTTCGACGCTGCATTGATGAAGAAGTCTGATCCCACGGGTCCCACGCTGCTCCTCCCTGAGAGTGAACTCTCCATCCGGATAGGTAGCACTGGGCTTCTTCCAGGCAAGCTCCCTGCTGTAGACGGCCAAGCCAGACGTGTAGACAGACTTGGGGTGGGGTAGGAGTACCACGGGGGAGGTGCCAGGGCTCCGTCTGCCCGTCCAGGGACTTGGCCCACTGCTGCCTGAAAGCCAAACTGGCTCTGGCCTGAGACGCCTTTCTCATCTGTTCTCAAACGACCTGCTTGCTGTAAAGATGGCATTGGCACCTTTTGATCCTCTTTGCAAGGTGGACGAATGGACAGGGTCAGGTTGGATGGGTAGAGTGTGGGCATTTATCCCTCTGTCTCCCCCTCTTTGCCCTCCCCTTTTTGATGCTCATCTTTTTGATTCACCTGGGAAACTGGCGGTGTGTCTCGCCGATTCTGTGTGCAGCCAGGAAAACTGACACAGCGAAGCCATGCTGTTGGTTCTGCATTAGAGGCGGGCGTTGCTCAAGAGTCCGGTAGCAATTCCCAAGTCTTGGGGGAGAGGTGCCGGCTGGGCTGCCGCCCTTTGAGCAGCCGTGGATGCCAGGAGACTGGTTTTCCAGCCTTGGGGGCAAGATCCTCCCCCACTCCCCCGTGTCATTGTTCAGTGAGGACAAGTGGCTCATTTGAGGGCCAGTTAGCACAAGTTGCACACCTGTGTTTTCCTTTGAACTTTTTTAGGAAGTCCTGGTTTGGTGCAGCAAGTCCCTGGTGCTGTGACGTGTCTGCCCCTCACTCTCCTGTGATGTCAGCTAGGCAAAGTCCTGCCCGTAGATGACCCGTGTACCCAGCAAACCATGTTGAGATGGGCACCTGCCTCTGTGGCATCTGTCTTGAGTGAATTGGGAATGGATAGTCAGTGACTGGTCACGGTCATTCACAGGACTGACTGAAGGGGACAAAGTCCTTTCCCATTTCCATGCTGGCGTTTTAAGTTGGTATTTTCATCATATCTAGCCGAGATGGTCACCAGCCCCCAGTGGGAGGCTGTGGAAAGTTGGAGCCTCACCGTGGCTGGGTCTCCGTGGTCTGGGTTCAGGTCATACCCTGCGTGCATTATTCATGGAGAACAGACTGCCTCTTCCACCCGCTCACCCCCACTGCCCCCGCCACCTCCCATGTGGGATATATCCAGGAAATAAAAGTCTATCTAGCGCGAGCTCGAGCAACAGAGGTCAGAATGCCACCTCTGCCCTCTGCCTCCAGCTGCGTAGCTCATTCACGCTTGGATTGGGAGGGCCGGGGTGCTGCCCACTCCTCTCCTTTCCTGGAGAGTGTGGCGGGCTGCCTCTGGAGATGAGGGTGGGCACCGTGTTCCTGTAAAACTTGTCATTTTGGAGGCTGAGTCCAGACACAGGCACATGGGCCTCTCTGGATTCCCACATGCAATCGAATGCTTAGGCTTCGTGTGTCCCTTTGAAGATTTTGCAGTCCTGATTCTGAGCCTTCTGTAGGACGACAAAAGTTGGCCTGAATTTTTTCTATCCCATTGCTTATCTTTAAAGCCACAGAGGTGGGGGTAGAAGGAAGAGATTCAGTGCCTGTCACTCAAAAACAGTAAGTGGCAATCCTTTTGATAGACCTTTTCCAATGGAGCCACAGCAAGGACCAGACCAGGGGAGCTGGTGGCTCTACAAGACAGCCTGGGGATTACTGGACCTTCTTGGCCAGCGCAGGGTTAGGAGTCGAGGGGGCCCCTGGAGGAGGGTGAGGCAGTCCTCTCCTCCTGCTCCTGAACACGAAGTGCAGCCTGTTGCCAGGTTACCAAGCAACCCTCCTAGCTGTTGCTAACTGTTCTGATACTTAGGCAAATGCAGCTCTTGGGGGTGTGAAGATAGTTTGCTGAGCCCAGACATCCCTCTCACCTGGACACACCTGTGGGTGTCAGGCATCTGGGGACTCTCAGGCTACTAATGGTTATTTGATGACTGGCTTCATGCAGATTGAACCTGAATATGCATTGTTTGTACCATCTGGATCTGCCCTTACGCCTGCTGTAGCTGGAGCAAGGAGATCGCTTTAATGGGTAGTTAGTGAGAAACATCAGCCTTTAAAAAATAATATTGGCACTGCTGTTATCATGTCCCGTAATTGGTTCAGCAAGAGGAATAAGCCACACTGTGGGAGGGCAGTTCAGCTGCCCTCAGCCGCAGCAGCAGCAGCCGCCGAGCCTGGGAAAGCATTGATGAGATGCTTTCCTGTTTGTCTTGTGCCAAGATTTTCTATGATACAGCTCTTCTCGGGGCTGGGGATATTTTGGGATTTAGCAAGGCAGATAATCCTTTTAAAACACTCTCGCCCTTCTCTCTTCTCTCTCTCCCTCACCCACCCACCCATCCTCGATCGATCCCAACTTTCTTTTCATTCCCATTGCAAGAACAAGGATTAAAAAATTTCTAGACTCCAGCTTCAATTCCTTTATCTCAGACACATTGTTTCATTTCTTGTATATCCTTTTAGAAGTGTGATGCTTATGCAATCAAACTTGACTCTTTGTTCTGTACCTTGTGGCTTTGCACTTAACAGTACATTAGGGTATTTGTGTGGGACACTCCTGGATCCATTCCATTTTGGTATTGCTCTGATGTTCCATAATTAATAATCCTTCAGATTAATTCCAGTCTTTTGCTCTTATGAAGGATGTGGTGGAGAGCATTTCAATATGTGCTTCTCTCTAGGTAATGACAACGCTGAGTCAATTCTAGAAACTAGGTCAGGGGTTCTTTACATCTGGGGTTGGTGCATGGGCACCAAAGGGTTCATGAGCCTCTTGAAATTTTATGCAGAATTTTTGTGTGCATAATGCTTTGGGGAAGCAAAAGTTATAGCTTTTTCTAGATGGCTCCTTGACTGTCTTGAGCTTCTCCCATTCAGCTGAGTGGACCCCCCCCCCCCCCCCCCCACACACACACACACAACTAGCACCCTCTTTAGGCCAAAGAGTTGCTTCAGTCCCACCTTTCTGGTCTGGGGCAAGTTACCAGCACGACTTCATTAAAAAGGTGGTGAATGTAGCTATTAAAATGTGCCATAAAAAAATCTTTTGCAGGATGAAGAACAGAGGGTTCAATAATAATTTCCAGGAGCTCTTTAGCATCATGGATGTTAAATACAATAAGGGAATAATGTAGGCATAACCTCTTGCTCAGGGCTCTGCAGGCAGCATGGCACTGCTGTGTGTCTGGGTTCACAGGACCACTCTCAGGACACACTATGGATTCTCAGGCTTCTGAAGAGCATTGCGTTAGGCAAGAAAGATGCTCAGCGCTTGAATGGAACTTTCTTGATTGTATGCCTTTTTTCTTTTTAAAATGTACTTAATGAACTGAGCTAGGCAGTCGGTTTGGAATGTGTTCTCAGGGTATGTTTTGGAGTGTGGCCTGACTCTCAAGGCAATTTGGCATCCATGTGAGTGTGCTCAGGCTTCCACAACCAAGAACCCCACGCCAGGAGGCTTCAGCAGCAGGAAATTTGTTCTCTCTCGACTCTGGAGGGTGGAGTCTGAGATCCAAGTGCCAGTAGGTTGGTTGGTTTCTCTTTGGTCTTAAGATGGCCACCTCCCTGTGAGTTCAGATGTTTGCCCCTGTGTGTATGTGGCCCAGTCTCCTTTTCTTATAAGGACATGGCGGTGTGGGAGTAGGGCCTACTTTAATGATAGCACTTGCTCGCGCTCGCTCAGTGCTGTAGATCCACTGTAGAGCCTTCCATGCTAAGCAAGCACTGTACCACCAAGCTTTGCCCCTAGCCCCTAATGATCTCATCTTAATAAAACTGCCACTCTTAAAGTCTTGCCTCCAAATACATTATATTCTGAGAGACTGGGCATTACGACTGCCACATGTGAATTTGGGCAGTGGGGAGGGGTCAGGTCACAGCACTGCACCATTTTTTTTTTAAACACTGTCTTCCCCACATGGTATTCAATGTAAAGGAGATCGACATGGCCGGAGAGCCACCTGTGTCTCTCATTTAGATCCTCACTATATTTCTAGCTCCTTGTGTTAGCCTCACACCTGCGAGGGCTGGGAATGCTGAGGGACTGAATGGGGAAGAGCTGAAGGAAGTTCTCCATTACTTGGAGAACCACTAGAGAAAAGTTAAACACACACACACACACACAAAAGGGACTGAACTCGGGGTGCTTTACCACTGAGCTAAGTCCCCAGCCTGAAGGTATGTATGTATTTAGAGAAGGGTCTCGCTGAATTGCTTTAGGGCCTCATTAAGTTGCTGTGGCTGTACTTGAACTTGAGATCCTCCTGCCTCAGCCTCTGGGTCTATTGAGATGACAAGTGTGTGCCACTTCACCCAGCAAATGGTCTTAAGTTTGGTTGAGTAAGAAGGCTGGTAGGTGTGCAGCCTTGGCTAATGAAATGAAAAGGGTGGCCCAGGGCTGTCCTCTCCCACCATCCCCTGAGACGTGAGCATCTCTCCTGTGGCTGCTGGCACCAAGCATCACAGTTGGAAATCTGTTCTCTGAGTTCTGTAGGGTGGACGTCTGAGATGAAGGTGGGCCAGGGCTGTTTGTCTACCCAGGGTCTGGAGGAGGTTCCTTCCTGCCTTGACTCTCTTCTGTGGCTGCAGGGTCCTTGGCTAGTAGCTGTGTCCCTCTGGTCTCCACCCCTGTTGTGATGTGCCATCTTCCCTGTGTCTCTGTGTTTAAGTCCCAAACTCTCTTCCTTCTCTTAGGTTTAGGGCCCGTCCTAATCTAGTATGGCCACTTCTTTTTAAAATTACACAAATACTTAATTTTTTGATTATTTGTCAATTAAACATGAGGGCACAATGTGGTGTTTTGGTATACATTTGCATGATAGAATGATTAAATCAAGCTGATCAACACATGTAAGACCTTATGTTCTTAACTTTTAGAGTATACAGTGTGAACATTTAGTATTTACTCTAATTTTGAAATATAATTTATCATGAACTGCAGTCGCTGTGCTGTAAAATAGATCTCCATAACTTCTGGCCGAAACCGTCTGCCCTCTGAATCCTGCTTGACTAATTGCATCTGCGAAGACCCAATTTCCAA